TCTGAGCCAACCACGCTATAAACTTCACTCATTATTTGTGGTCATATTTTTCTATTTTTTATAATTGAAATTATAAGTAATATTTATATTAAAAATAAATTCTATTCAAATATAATAGGGATTTGACACTTAAATTAGGATTATATTACTTTATGTAATTTGAATAACAAGAATGCTATATGCCATACAAGAATACAGTGTATGCAGTGTATACAGTGTATGGCATTAAATTGGCATTAAGTCAATTTAAAGTTATAGATTATTTAAATTATAAATTGCCGTGTTTTCAACAAGTTATCAATGTTTAATGCTGAAGCAGATATTAATAATGGTTGAAATATTATTCAGTGATAATTTGATATAAATACATGACATTATTTACACTTACATTTAAATTTGACATTATTAAACACAAATGTTTAAATGAAAGCTTTAAAAAAAGTTATCAATCAAATCGTTAAATGACAAATAATAATAATTAACTGAGAAATACTGAGTGCAAAATTTTATTTTTCAGTATTAGTTCAATTAGTGCACAAAGTGATACAATAGACATAATTTGTCAACCATTTGATATAAATGGTAGGAAAACAACTTTGAGAAAACAAAACCAATACGATGTCGGACAAGGTTTGCTATAAAATAAAAATTTAAAAATTCATTTAAAACTTTAATATGTTTTGACATCAAATCAGGTAATCAACTGTCGGGCGGCTGTCCTATGGAAAGAGGGAACTCCGTTAACGTTAGAGAATATAACAGTAGATCCACCCAAAGGTAGTGAAGTACGGGTGCGGATGGTATCTGCGGGTATCTGTGCCAGTGATGCCCATTACATATGGGGTCAACAGACAGACGCTGACCTAGACTTCGGCGGTAAGCCAGTGGTGTTGGGCCACGAGGGGGCCGGTGTGGTCGAGTCGGTCGGACCTGATGTGACGAGTGTAGGTGTGGGCGATCACGTGATAATGCTATGGCTGCCTAACTGCGGGAACTGTCCGCTCTGTGCGCACCCGAAGACCAACTTTTGTATGAGTGTTGACCCGTACTCCACGTTATATCACGAGAAAGGGGTGACGCGAATGAAAATCAATGGCGAAGACTTGCTATCATTTAGTAATTTTTATTATTATTTATTATTACAAATAACTTATACCTTGTTTTTCACTTGATTAGCTGGCACAAGTACTTTCTCGGAGTATACAGTGGTAAGGGAGGCTCAAATTGCTAAGGTAGGTGTTTAATCATTTATTTATTACTCTCTTATTTCTAAATCTTATATTTAATATTCAGATCAATCCAAAGGCTGATCTCAAGACAGCCTGTGTGATAGGCTGTGCTGTTGGCACGGGATATGGAAGTGTTGTCAATATAGCCAAAGTACATCCCGGTGCCAAATGTGCCGTTTGGGGTTTGGGTGCTATTGGGTTGTCAGCTGTATTGGGCTGTAAACAGGCCGGCGCTGCGACCATAATAGGAGTCGACATAAACCCCGATAAAGAAAATATTGCCAAACAGTTCGGTTGCACCCGGTTTATTAATCCCAAAACTCTAGGTAAAAAATGATAACTATAAAATAAATTAATTTTAAAATATAACAACATTTCAAATCCTTTTTCCAGACGAACCCATCGAAAGTATACTACAAAAAGAAGGGGGACTGGAGTTTGCCTTCGATTGTATCGGTAATCAACAGGTGATCGACTCGGCCTACAAATCATTGTGCCCCTGGGGGTCACTCACTCTTATCGGTACAAACGTGACCATAATATGTGTTGATTTGATAACAATCTCATATTAATTACAAGGTATGGGTCCGAAGGGTAATACAGTGGACACAAAAGTGGGTGATTTTCTAAATGGTCGGACAGTTTCGGGTGGATTTTTCGGTAATTATAAGCCCAGAAAAGCTAATCAAGAATTGGTTGAGAAGTACTTAAACGGTTCGCTACCTATCGATGGCTTAATCACACATCGGATCCGTTTGGATGACATCAATGAGGGCTTTGATAATCTAAAAGCTGGTAAAACTGTGCGAACGGTTATTGAGTTTTGATTTTTTAAATTAATTATTTTACAGTTTTGTCAAATATTTTTGAAATATTCTTTATGCTTTAAATAAATAAATAAATATGCAATTAAAAAGACTAAACATGGTTGAAATATAAATTAAAACGTTAAAACATGTCATTATCTGACCTCGATGTCAATGTAAATCTGTTAAAATTTATTAAAAACTATTCCTGAGATTATGCTATTTTTGTAATCAATTTTATAGAAAATACCAAAATAATATTATCAAGAAAAATCATATTTCAATATTTTATGAATATATTATCAAGTAGTTTATTTATTTTCTAGTTATTAAATTAAGAATTTCACTCTTATTTAAATATAATTGTATAATCGTTGAGTTATTAATCTGAATAACCTGATAAGCAAATAAAAAGTAATTTCGTGAAATACTATGTGAAATGTTTTATTATGTTTAACTAATTTGCAAATAAATGAGTTATAAATTATACTGCAATACAATAGGTATCTGATAATTATTTGATCAAAGCAATTTGAGTACCCTTAATAGTTAGTCTTATTCAAATAAATATTTCATATGCTTCATAATAACTTATACCGGTAACTGTAACTTAACATATTATAATTTTACTTGAGGCTAATGTATGAAGTATTAAAATATTCATCAAAGTATTACAATCAAAATGTGTCATAAAGATGTTAATCTTAAATAACACTTACTTAGATGTACTTGTGTTCAAGTTAAAATTAATTGATGTGTTCATTGGAATTTAAAAATTATCGGCAAACTTGTTTATATTAGATATTCAATGATATCTGGTTTTTGTTAATTCTAGAAAATATAAAACTTATATGTTTCAATTTGGCACAAACTACTGTATTAATAATAAAAATACTGGTACTAAATTACTAAATTAATTTAAAAACAACTTATTAATTAAACTAAATACCGTATTATTTTAAATAAATTATTTGTATTCAAAATAATAACACCCGAGTAATGGCAGCAAAGGTTTGCAAAATCAGTAAATGCTTTATGAAAACATTTATATAAAAACTCTTTTGATGAACAGGTAATCAATTGTCGAGCGGCTGTCATGTGGAAAGAGGGAACTCCACTCAAGATCGAGAATATAACAGTAGACCCGCCAAAAGCCAATGAAGTACGGGTACGAATGGTGTCGACGGGTGTCTGTGCCAGTGATGGGCACTTCATATTTGGTCACGAGACTGACCTCGTCTATGATTTCGAGGGCCATCCGGTAGCCATGGGTCACGAGGGGGCCGGCGTTGTGGAAAGTGTAGGGCCGGGTGTGACCAGTGTGTCGGTGGGCGACAAAGTGATGCTACTATGGATGCCTGAGTGCGGTCGGTGTGCCCTCTGTACTAACCCGCAGACAAACTTCTGTTTGACGGCCAATAAGTATACGGTTTTATATCACGATAACGTTAATAAAGAGACCCGGATGAAAATCAATGGCAAACCATTGCTATCATATGGTAAACAATTAGTATCTTGTTAATATTAATAAAGTTTATGTTGAATCCATAGCTGGTGTGAGTACTTTCTCGGAGTATGTGGTGGTCAAGGAGATACAGTTGGCTAAAGTATTTATGTTATAATTTTAATATAAGTTATCATTAATTATTAAGTCTTTCCTTTTTAAAGCTCAACCCAAAGGCTGATCTGAAGAATGTTGGCGTAATTGGTTGTGCTGTGGGTACTGGTTATGGCAGTGCTGTGAACATAGCCAGAGTACATCCCGGCTCCAAATGTGCCGTTTGGGGTATGGGTGCCATTGGGTTGTCCGCTATATTAGGCTGTAAACAGGCCGGCGCTGAGACCATAATAGGAGTCGATATAAACTCCGATAAAGAGAGTATTGCCAAACAGTTTGGTTGTACCCGGTTTATTAATCCTAAAAATATTGGTAAGAATTACAAATTGAGCCATTATTAGGATATTTCTAGTGAACACCTCGAGATCTGTAGATAATAATTGTGTCTAAATTATAGCAACTTTAAGATTTAAAATTTTAAAATTAATATTCAGATGAATCACTCGAAACGCTATTACAAAATGAGGGCGGAATTGATTATGCGTTTGACTGTATCGGTAACCAACACGTACTCAACACTGCATATAATTCATTGAAACCCTGGGGATCCCTAACTGTTATCGGTAAATTAGTTTACAAATTATTAAATGATATTTATATGTATAACATACATTTTAATTGATAATAGGCTTGGGATCAAAAGGTAGTAAAATAGATGTAAAAGTAGCGGAACTGGTGAAGGGTCGGTATGTGTTGGGAGGCTTTTTCGGTAATTATAAGCCCAGAAAAGGTAATCAAGAATTGGTTGAGAAGTACTTAAACGGTTCGCTACCTATCGATGGCTTAATCACACATCGGATCCGTTTGGATGATATCAATGAGGCCTTTGAATGTCTAAAGGCCGGCAAATCTATACGAACTGTCATTGAGTTTTAAAACATTAATGATAAGAAATACTTGTTATCACACAAAATTATGTGTAAAATTTTAATATACATGTGTAGTATAATTAAAAGTATCAATGTCAAATATTAACATATCTCTAAAATCGTGTTTTTTGTCATTTTTAATGTTTGTGATTACAGAACAAATATTATTTTTATATTCAAAGTATTCAAATAATGTTGCTCATAATTTTCTTTATAATTTTAAGTCTCATAAACAAGAAAATGTTTTCATATAAAATTTAATTCGTTATCAATGAATCAATAAATCAATGATATGGTTATTATCAGGTCACACTTAGTTCACTGTTTTAATAAATGTTTGAGTTTAATGTCATAGTTTTGCACTTATAGCCCAAACATTTTAAACGATTAGATAAGAATTTTAAAATAACATTTGTTCTGACAAGTTATTTTAAGTTATACTGTATTTTGTTAACTTATGTTTAGCAGTGTTCAGTCGAAAATTAAGTTTTTAGAGCAATAATCAATTCATTAGCAATGACTTCAAAGGTCTGTAAAAATTATGTTTGCACCCTGGACAGTACAGTATAATTATAATGAGACAATTATTAAGGCACAGGTAATCAACTGTAAGGCTGCCGTCCTCTGGAAAGAGGGAACACCACTAACCGTAGAGAATATTACTGTCGACCCACCACAAGAGGGTGAGGTAAGGGTGCGTATGGTATCGGCCGGTCTATGTGCCAGTGACGCCCACTTCATATGGGGCTGGGAGACAGACATCATACTAGACTTCGAGGGAAACCCAATTGTACTGGGTCACGAAGGGGCTGGTGTGGTCGAGTCTGTAGGGCCGGGTGTGACTAGTGTTTCAGTAGGCGATCACGTAATCCTGTTGTGGACGCCTGACTGCGGTCGGTGTGCCCTCTGCTCTCATCCGAAGACAAACCTGTGTCTCAGCGATGACTTCGTTTCGGTTATGTATCACAAGAACAAAGAGACGCGACTGAAGATCAATGGAAAGCCATTGCTTTCATTCAGTAAATGACACCATATTTTAGATATTATTTATTAATTTCATTGTTTGTCACAAATAGCCGGTACGGCCACCTTCTCCGAGTACAGTGTGGTCAGAGAGACACAGATTGCTAAGGTATGGCTATATTTAGTGTTAATGAAGATTTAATTAATAGGATTAAAGATTCATTAATTTTAAGGTCAATCCAAATGCCAACTTGAAGAGTGCGTGTGTGATAGGCTGTGCTGTTGGCACGGGATATGGCAGTGCTGTGAACATAGCCAAAGTACATCCCGGCTCCAAATGTGCCGTTTGGGGTTTGGGTGCCATTGGGTTGTCAGCTCTATTGGGTTGCAAACAGGCCGGCGCTGAGACCATAATAGGAGTCGATATAAACTCCGACAAAGAGAGTATTGCCAAACAGTTTGGTTGTACCCGGTTTATTAATCCTAAAACTCTTGGTAAGAACTAATACAAGTTAAATGTGTGCCTTAAATAATAATTGAATTAATATTCAGATGAACCAATTGAAGTTGTATTACAAAAGGAGGGTGGAGTGGACTATACCTTCGACTGTATTGGTAATCAACAGGTGCTCAACTCGGCCTACAAATCATTGAATCCATGGGGTGTTATCACTGTTATTGGTATATGAATTACCTTTTAATTTAATTATGTGTGACATTTGTTATTAAATAATAGGTTTGGGTCCGAGAGGTAATAAAGTGGAGGCCCCGGTGTCTGACCTGGTGATGGGTCGTACTGTCACTGGAGGCCTATTCGGTAATTATAAGCCCAGAAAAGCTAATCAAGAATTGGTTGAGAAGTACTTAAACGGTTCGCTACCTATCGATGGCTTAATCACACATCGGATCCGTTTGGATGATATCAATGAGGGCTTTGATAATCTAAAAGCTGGTAAAACTGTGCGAACGGTTATTGAGTTTTAATTTCAATTGTGACACAAATACTATGACTTTAAGATTAACCTTTATATAACTGTACTTAGAATACTTAGAAACTTTATTATATTTCATTAAATTCATTTAGTTTTCAAAAATATTTTATAAAATTTAGTTTTATTTTAATATTTCTAACACAAAATTATCAGTACTTTTTTACTAGTATATTATCTGTGACTCAACAACTGAGAACTATTAGTATGTGTAGTACACATTGTGTACTAATGTACCTATTACTAAAAAAATTAATCCATATTAAAGGTTATGTAATTAATATTTTGAAAAGTATATATATATATGAATCAAAATATCAAATAGAGGCCTATTTCTTATTTCTTACTACTAATTTATATTGAAAATTATATGTTAAATGTGAAAACCAATGCATTACTCAGTTTCAGAAATAGGCCTCTATTTGATATTTTGATTCATATAATCTTACAGACAATTTAGTATTTATTGAATTCATTTAATAATTACTGATTACATAACAAAGTTGATTATACTGTATTTTCAAAATAAATTATACGGCAAACTTACATGTGCATTATAATGAATTTTTTGATTAAAATTCTCGTGTTTATAAACATTTATGTTTCAATAATAACTGCAAACTCGACGACTGTGAACATACCTTTTGACCACCACTTCCATACCGAACCCATACTACCGTTCAATACTTGGGGATCTCTTCGGGCCATTTATTACTTCGGTCTCAAGACTTCATCACCAGATTCACCGGCTGTTGGTTTGGTTTGGTTTGACGATAAGGCCGATAATGTGTCTGCCCTTCGGATGAGGCACTGGTGCGACGCTAAAGACAATCTGATATATGGCTGGAAATATCATAACTTCGATGACTTTGGATTTCAGACTATTAAAGATAATGACTATATTTTCAATACAAGTTTTATTAAATACACGACTGATAATTGGAAAGCTCTGGTATCGGTTGACCAAACGGATGCTAATGTCTTTGAAATAAATAACACAACTATTTCTCTGATTATATACCTATCCATTCAGAGAGATAAGGATTTCATACAAATCAATGGCTATAATTCAAGTTCTATACAAATGAGTGGATTCAATGAATTTATTGGAAATTTCTCACTCAATATTGTTTCAGAAGGAGAGCCTTTGTTATATAGTGGACAGTTAGCCTCCGATTCATCAGTTGTGGATATAACTCAATCCATTATGTCTAGTTTGAAACCTATTATAATAAATGGGACACAAATATATGGCTTAAAAACAGAGAAAATACCTATCAGTACACGTCTCATAGCATTTCAAGTGGTATTCAGAAAGCAAACAAAAGTAATAATTGACTTTAAGGTCATAAAACATTTGAATGAAAAGTTGGAAAAAGTCAGTGATTATGATAATGACCTCAAAGAGAGAATAAACCTTTTCGGACAAGAATTTGACACAAAATTTGATTTAAAAGGAAAAGGATTTAATGAAAAACAGATTACGTTCGCGCAGTCAGTATTGAGTGAAATGTTGGGAA